ATATACTTTATTTCTTCTCCATCATGTAGTTTTAAACCTTTGTGATTTCTGTTTTCTATCAAACACCATTCATTCATTCATTTTCTTTTTGGCTTAGCCCCTTTATTAATCTGTGGTTACCCCAGTGGAATGAACTGCCAACTTATCCAGCATATGTTTTATGCTGCAATCCATCACTGGGAAACACCCATACACTCCCATTCACACACATACACTATGGACAATTTAACTTTAGCGCCAATTCCCCTATAGCGCATGGGTTTGGACTGTGGGGGAAACCGGAGCACCCGGAGGAATCCCACGCCTCCACACATGCCAACTGGCCCAGCCTAGGCTCAAACCAGTGACCTTCTTGCTGTGAGATGACAGCTCTACCCACTGCGCCACCGCATCGACCTCTATCAAAGACTAAAGAAGAAATTTTGATGAAAGACGAAACCTTGAAGCCATTGACTTTCACAGTAGGAAAACAGAGGGAGGTCAATGGTTAGGAGAGAGCAGGGCACGAAGTAACACTTTTTGGTTGTGGCCAATGATGAACAAAGTAATAGGGTCAGACAAACCTTATTTTAAACAACACCGCACAAGCCTCTCCAACAAATGAGCATTGAAAATATGATCGCCGGCCCTATGGTTTCTGTGCAGTATAGCCAAAAGTGCCAGGAGTCAAAATGTTACTAGTTACCCCACCTACCGGGCAAGTTGTAACAGACACTTTGAGCCCCGGTGCATAGTCTAACAGGGTTGTGCTTATTCTCTTTATGAGTTCGCTTTGAGCATAACATGCATTAAACCAATCAGAGTTTCATCTCCCATTCCCTTTAAAAGTCAGTTGTGTCGCACCATGACGCATTTGCTATTTACATGTCGACTGTGTAAGAGGAAAAACTGAACGCTTCACTAGAGAGAAAACAGTTAAACAGAGCATCTGCAGCGCGAGGATAAAGAACGAGCCTCCTCCATTCAGCCTCTTTACTGTACTTTTACTCTTTACTCCTTTACTTTGGTGGAGTAAGGAAAAAGTGTTGTACTCACTCTACTGAAGACATCCATTAGCCCACATGTTTAATTTAATTTGCTAAGAGCAAAGATTAGTTTCAAAACTATTTCTAAATTCAGTTTTAATCTCCAGCAAAGGAATAAATGAACAATAATAATGAAGTGTGGTCAGTTATATCCAAACACACTTCCTCTTCTTATATGGTGATGCAGACGTCTCCAAAACCCCACAGGTGGACAAATCTAAACTTTTGTTTATTAAAACAATTATAAATATACAGATAATAAATAACACTGTTAATAATTATAAGATCGTCATGAAGAATAATAACAATAATAATAATAATAATAATAATAATAATAATTTTTGTAACATTTTAATCCTTTAATTCTTTTATTGTGTGTATTGCTGTACATTCTGTGTGTATTAAGCAATGTGTAGTTGTTTAAAGTGCACAACTAACGCGCTCTGCGCTGGACTTTAGAGCAGCTTTCAGCTGGTCAATGATGCAGTCAATTTTAGTTCAAAATAGCAACAAGCCAACAATGCGCCTTAACACACCTCCTTTCTAGAATAACTTTTTTTTCAGTATTCAGTTGTCTAACAAAACAAAAACGTTTTTGATCCACTTCAAATGTTGACTACTGGATTATAAAAACCTGTAAGTCATTCATTCATTCATTTTTTTCGGCTTAGTCTTTATATTTCAGAGGGCACTACAGTGTTATGCAGTGGACTCATAACACACTCATACACTACAGCAAATTTAGTTAATCAATTCTCCTATAGCGCATGTGTTTGGACTGTGGGGGAAGCCGGATCACCCGGAGGAAACCCACGCCAACATGGGGAGAACATGCAAACTCCACACGGAAATGCCAACTGGCCCAGCCGAGACTCAAACCAGTGATCTTCCTGCTGTGAGGCGACAGTGCTAACCACTGAGCCACTGTGCTGTCTCAATAGTTAATAACTAAAGAGAATTTTGCATGATTGGCCATAGTTTTACACCAGTAATCATCTGAAATCAACACATGTCAAAATTAGGCCATTTATTTTAAAATAAGCACACGCTCGTGCACTGCATGAGTTGCTTTAGCAGGCTCCAGCATTACAGATATGGGTGGCTGGAGAGAAGTGAAAAAACAGGTTTTCTGCTCCTTCATGTTGCTGTATTTGGTTACTGTGGGCTCAAATAATTAGTCCAGTTATCTGTTTATTAATAAACAACATTAGAGATGAATGGCATTGTGCACTCAAATAAACCTTTGGGTTGCCAAAAGAACTGTTCAGTGATTTATTATTTATTTTTAGCACCTTTTTTTGCAAGAAAAATGTCCTTATTGGAAATCAAAGACTATGAATAATCTTTTATTTTAAGAGTGTACTGACTATTTGCGTATTTATCAGCCACCTATAATCCATCTGCCTTGCAATATACATAAAAATAGCATCTAACTATAACAGTATGAAGCGTTTCAAAGGTAAACTGGTGTTGAAATAAGTTGTTAAAACGATAATTAAGCTAAAGGTGAATATTTACCACCTCTTAAGTGGTTCCAAATACTAAAAACACTTATCGCTAATCATTAATCCATTCGTTTTCCTTTGGCTTAGTCACTGATTTCTCTGGGGTTGCCACAGCGGAATGAACTTCCAACTATTCCAACATATGTTTTACACACCAGATGCCCTTCCAACTGCAACCCAGTGCACTCTCATTCACACACACACACACACACACACACACACACACACACACACACACACGCACACACACACACACACACACTATGGCCAATTTAGTTAACCCAATTCACCTATAGTGCATGTGTTTAGACCGTGCATGGGGGAAACTGGAGCACCCGGAGGAAGTCCACACCAACACAAGGAGACCATGCTGGGACTCAAACCAGCAACCTTCTTGCTGTGAAATGACAGTGCTAACCACTGAGCCATCGTGCCACCCTTGATCGCTAATCAAAAAATGCTAATCTTCTTTTGTTGTCAGCAAAAGAAAGAAACTCAAGCAGTTTTGCAATAATCGAAGGGTGAATAAACGATGACAGAACTTAATTTTTGCGTGAACTATCCTTTTAATCGAGCAGACTATAGCGTTACATTGCTAATGAAGACAATTTGGGGCCTGCTAATGTTGTTTGCTAATGCTAGATCCACTGCTAGGCTACTCTAACTTTCCTTTTGCTTTCAAAACCTGAAAAAAAAATCACTTCCTAAATCACTGAAGCACCAGAATGTGACGTATACAAGCTAACTCAGAATGATTATGCAATATTTGCCTGATGGAAGTTCTGTCATAAGCTAAAGCGAGTAAAGTAAGACAAGGATTTTGATTAAATCGAACATGAGACGACTCAGGCTTCAACCAGATCTGCCTGTTAAATTTTACATGTCTGCAATAGCACTGTATGTGCCTACATTAGCACACTAAGCATGTGACAAATGTATATGTTAGCATTAAAAAGGACAGAGATTTTGGAGCTTATGTTGTTTGCAGTTTGAATTCCAGGCTTGTTGTTTTTTATGGACGTCAATGTTCTTTAAATGATCTTTTTTAGAGCTCAGTAGAAGAAAGAAACTCTTAAAGGTTTATTATAACCACTTGAGGGTGAATAGTGAGTAATTTTTAGACTGTGTGTGAACTATCCCTTTAAAAAGCTAGACTTTTGACAAACGTTTCACTTCTTTGTTCAGTTTAATAGCATTACATGTGTTTATTATAAGTACTCGGGGATTTTGTGTACTTGAAGCAATGCAAAAATTAAAAGTGGTTATTAAAAGGACACCATGAGGATGTAGCTTAGCCCTCAACACAAGTAGAAAGATGAACAGCGGAAATGAGACTATAAACAGCAGACAGCGAGAAGAGTTCATGGCGCCATCTATTGGTGATAGTCAGTATTGCGCTGCTTAATTTTACTGTTTACTTTCCTCCTTTTTCATTTTTTTTTTTTGGCTGAATCACACAAAGGCATATGAAAGCTAATAAACAATGAGGCATAATAAATAATAATGAAAATCACACAAAGGTAAACATAACGCAACAACACATCTTTGAAAACTAAGGGAAGTTCTTGTGACCATATCTTATATTTGATATTTATTGTTATTCTCGACATAACAAATGTTGTTTTCTCATGATTACTTTCTCTGCTTTTCATTTACTTATTTAATATAATTATTTAATAACTTTTATTACTTTAATATTGTTATTATTATTATCATTATTATCATTATGATTATTATTATTAATAAAAAAATCCTGCTTCAATAATGCTCTGCACTGAAAAAAAACGAAAAAATAACTTTAAAAAATTATATTAATTGCTAAAAATTCTTTTTTTGAATTTAATTTTTAAAATAAGAGGAATTTTCATCAAACAAATATTAAAATGGCATGTTTTATTATTATGATTATTATGATTATTATTTTTATTATTATTATTATTACTAGTAGTAGTAGTAGTAGTAATATAATCAAGCATACAAAAGAGGACAAAGACAAAAAAACAAGCACAAGCAAAAGCAAAATAAAGGAAAATAACATAAAATAAAATGCATAAAATACTAAAGTACCGACATCAGGGAAGTTAAATGAATTATATTTTATACATGTCAAAACATCCTTATTTACCATGCGCTATTAAATGTATTTTCATGCATGTTTTCTCGTGATCACAAATTTAATATTTTCATAATCTCAACATAATAAAACTTGTTTTCTCATGATTACTTTTTCCTGCTTATTATGTATCTATTTTAATAATAATATTATTTATTAACTTATTACTTTTTTATTATCATTAAGCATGCAAAACAGTACCAAGACCAAAGACAAAAAAAAACTAAAAAACAAATGAACACAGATATATAAAAGAAAGTAAAAAATACAACAAAACAGAATAAAATAAAATAATAAAGAACCAACATCAGAGAAATTAAATAAATTATAATTTTATAATATGACATAACAATTTCATCATTTATAATATAATATTATTTATTTTCTGATCTTATATTGGAATGGATTTTAAAGTATACTTTAAGATCAGCAACATGTTCTGTACTGCAAAGATGTACTGTAATTACATTAAAATGTGAGAAAAGTGTAAAGAAAAAATGTGAAATGCCCTCTCAGAGATTAGGTACATTTAAGATAAAACTCTTCTGGAAATTTAATACAAAAAAAGTCCATAAACCGTGTGCATCCTTATGGACATTGATGACTTTTTCATTTAGTTTTTGTGTGTGGTGATTTTGATTGTGTAAATAACAATAATATTAGCCTTTTTTAAAGAAGATTTAACATTTCACCATTTTTTGCTACTTTACATTAAAAAGATTTGTCCTTGATCTACAGAACAAAATGTAAATATTTAAAAAAATATATAATAACAATATAAGTATGTTAAATTTATTTATATTAAATTTCATACATTTCAAACAAAGTCATACATTTTTTGCAAACAAACTTCTATTCTGTTGGCAAAGACTTCAGAATTGCTAAAAAAAAAAAAAAGCTAATTTTTAATATTTTGGTTTGACTTGTCGAACAAAAAAACACTAAATTTTAAGTTAATCCTGCATGTCTCAATAATAGTCTGCACTGAAAAGCGAAGAATAACTTTAAAAAAAATAGAAAATTAAATAAAAAAAGAAGAAATATTAAAATGGCATGTTTTTTATACACTATTGACTATTTTGAGGGATGTAAATGATAACAATGGTCCTGATGTATTTCCTGTTTTACATTTTATAGACCATTTCAATGTGGTCATGTCATTAACCCATGAATATTTCCTGCGTGTTATCAAACTATTTCATAACTTTAACTAAAGGCAATTCAGTCATAACTTCATGTTAAAACAGCTATCATAACATTATTTATCAATATGTGGCTCTTTTTGGATTCTCAGAAGCTGTAGAAATTAAAAATGTAAAACAGGAAATACGTTTAGAGCGTTGTTTTGTTTACATCCCTCATAATGGTAGATAGCTTCTGAGAATCCAAAACAACATATTGATAAGTATTGATAAATATTCCTATGACCGGTGTTCTAACATAACGATATGACTGAATTGCCTCTTGTTATTGTTATGAAGAAGTTTGATAAGCAGGAAATTTTCATGGGCCAATGACATGACCACATTGAAATGGTCTATATGTTTATATAATTATAGTTTGGGATGAAGTCAAAACAACAAAACTCTAAAATCACCTGAAAGCTGCAAAAATCCCGAACGCATGCAGAAATTCCCTTACTTTCCTAAATGAAGAAACAACAATAACGTTTAAAAGAGGAACAGCACAATTATCTTTGAACAACTTAGATCATAATGAGAGAATAAATAAGTTCTCTAGTCTTAAAAGATCACCAAAAGCTAAGTGTAGCATTCACACAGGCGATCTGGAAACCATCTTGATTTATTCCATGAACCATTAGATTAAAATCGCCCTGTGGGAGGGAAACAAAGAGTTAAACATCAGACAAAAACCATTTATAAACAAAAACCTAAATGTTAAAAATAGATCCAAACCTTTAGAGGAAGGTCTACTTTTGATTTAATTAACATCTCGAAGGTGATCATTTCTGGAGAAATTCATAACAAACGCATTATTTCATTACTATAATAATGTCAGATTGCTTTCTGTATACAGATGAGGGCTATATGATTAGTGAAATACTTCAACTTTTTCTCAAGTTATGTTTAACACAGCAAGGAATCTTTTCACAGTATTTCCTATAATATTTTTTCTTCTGGAGAAAGATTTATTTGTTTTATTTCGGCTAGAATAAAAGCAGTTTTTACATTTTTTTTAAAAGCCATTAAGGTCAATATTATTAGCCCCCTTAAACAATATTTGTTTTGGATTGTCTACAGAACAAACTATCATACAATGACTTGCCTAATTACCCTAACTCACCTAATTAAACTAATTAACCTGCACTGTTGCTGCAATTGTACAGTTATTTACAATATACTGTCTTTACAGTTCACTACTGTAATATGCACTGCATTGCAAGAGTATCTGTCTGCGGACCGCAAGACAGGGGTGTAAGCTACTACAATTACACCCCTTGGCAAGATCAAGATCCCATTAAACAATGGGAGACGTCACAACGAGATTGGTGGTAAGATGGCGGAAATACTTACCAGAGAACAAGAGTTTTCTCCAAATTTATCCACAACCAATTCAGTTGATATTTTATTATATTGATTTATTTAGCAATTCCACCATGCAACTTCACTTGCTGATCCGTTTTGTCATGATATGGGGGTGTCCAAACTCTGTCCTGGAGGGCCGGTGTCCTGCTGAGTTTAGCTCCAACTTGCTTCAACACACCTGCCTGGAAGTTTCTATTATATCTAGTAAGTACTTGATTAGCTGGTTCAGGTGTGTTTGATTAGGGTTGGAGCTAAACTCTCCAGGACACCCCTGTTATAGAGGTTAATAACTATGATGGATGGGTTTAGGTGTGGAGTAGGTGTGGAAGGCTCGTTACGCTGTTTGATGTTGCAATTTAATATTTTCTTATTATATTATGCTACTTGGTCTGTATAGTCATGCAAACATTTGTTTGTTGAGCAAGTAGTTTGGCCATTTTCAGCCGTTTATTATTCCTTGTCATTTCTCCCATAGGCGACTGAATCGGAAGTTCTAAGACAATCGCGAAAACAGGCGCACTTCCGCATTTTAGAATAAGGTCAATATAGTACGCTCAAATCACTGTGAGCCGAGTAGTATGCCTGAATTCATAGAATTGGAAAATCAGTATGCGAGAAATACCCGGATGACTTACTACTTCCGGATGACTTACTACTTCCGGCGAGATTCTGGAGTGCACATCCCATGCATGCTACGCTATCCCATAATGCCTCCCGAGACAATTCATGAATGGAAGTGAGGCGATGCAACTGACGCAGGTAGGTCACGTGACCATGACACAATGGCGGATGTAGTACGTCTGAATTCCATTCATACTTTATAGAATGTATAGAACGGCCGAGTAGTACGCTTAAATTCAAATGCAGTACCTACTTAGTAGTAAGCAGTTTCGGATGCAGCCAATGTTAATAACTGATGGGTACAGCGCCATCTGGCTGACAACTTAGTTTTAACATGTGGGTGTCCATAACTTGTAGTGACGCTCCTTCATGTTATTCCGTTGTCTGCAGACAGACCCTACCCCTGCATTGTCTCATTTTAATAACTTCCTGCATAGTAGGAATTTGCGGTACTCAATTGTAAACAAAGTAATCAAGCACAAGCTCCTGTACTGTACTGTAGACAAAAATGTGTCTCTTATTTAGACTTTATTATAATAAAAATACTAAAAATATTTTTGCACAGCTAATAAAATGAAAATAAATGACAGTAAAACTACTGTAAAATTAAAATGTGGTAAAGGGCATTTTACTATAAAAGAAGTCGTGGAAGGGATACTGTAAAAATAAATGAAATTGCGGTAGAGTCCTGCTACTGTAAACACATTTACAGGTCAGTTACTGTAAAGGGACAGTTTCTGTAATTACTGGCATTAGTGCTGCCTGTAAGTTACCGTAAAGACACAATCAAATATCTAAGAGTGTAGTTAAGCCTTTAAACACCCCTTTAATGCCAGTATCTTACAAATATCTAGTCAAATATTACGTGCTGTCATCATGGCAAAGAAATCAGTTATTAGAAATGAGTTATTACAGCTATTATGATTAGAAATGTGTTGAACAAATCTACTATCCGCTAAACAGAACTTGAGGAAAGGTATAAAAGAATTGAAATTTAACAGGAGGGCTTATAATTCTGACTTCATCTCTATATTATAAAAATGACCCAATGCAAACTCCGTTTACCTCCTCTCCGGCTTCCACAAAATGTAAAGCGTGGGAACTGAGGAAGGCAGAGAGGCTCATCCACACCCCAGACGTGCAGTCCATTCAGAAACAGCTTAATAGAGGAGTAAAACTCAGTGATGGACTGCCCTAGAGAAAAAACACACACTGTTAACAATTTCCCACAGAATCTACAGTAACTCAATTACTGCAAAATGCCTGTTTTTACATTGCAGCACATTTATATTGCTGTATATGTATTTACAGTATTGTGTATTCTTGCTGTATAATATACATTTTGCAATATACAGTTGTCATTTTCACAACGCAAATTTAAAGTAAAACACAGCAACAAACTGCATTTCTGTCCTAGAGTAAAATACAGTTCATATTACAGGTAAATACTGTGCCATTTACAAAATTGTTAACAGTGGAGTTACTACTTTACATGAATTCGATAACCTGAAAGGGAAATATTATTGTGGCAAGACGAACACTCACTCAGAATAAAGGCTATTCTGACTGTTGTGGGATCTGTGAGTTTGTTCGGACAGGGCAGGAATGAGACACCGACGTCCTGTAATGGGTCTGAAATAACTAAACGACAAAATTAAGGATAAAAAGTCAGAATTATTAGCCCCCCTGTATATAATTTCCCCCAATTTTTTTTCAACACATTTCTAAACATGATAGTTTTAATAACTCATTTCTTATAACTGATTTCTTTTATCTTTGCCATGATGACAGTAAATAATATTAGACTAGATATTCTTCAAGATACTAGAATTCAGCTTAAAGTGACATTTAAAGGTTTAACTAGGGTAATTAGGGTAACGTTAGAGTAATTAGACAAGTCATTGTATAACAGTGGTTTGTTTCTTTAGACAATCAATAAAAATATTGCTTAAAGGGGCTAATAATGTTGACCTTAAAATGGTTTAAAAAATATTATAGGAAATACTGCGAAAAATTTCTTGCTCTGTTAATCAACATTTGGGATATATATATATATATATATATATATAAACAATCACAGAATGGTGAATAATTGTGACTTCAACTGCAATACATGTGTAAATGAAACAAATCAAAACATCAAGGCAAGGTGATAAAGGTGGAAATAAGTTCCTGTTAATGATTGACACCTGTCAATCAATCAACTGAAAACACTCAGAATATCATGTTGGCTTCAGAACATTTTTTTTTTTTTTAAAAGGAGGTAAAAAAAGTTTATTATGCTCACCACGGCTGTTTTGTTTGGTCAAAAATATCATAATATTCTGATTAAATATCAAATAATATTCTGAAATATTGTTAAAGTATAACTGCATGTTTTCTATTTTAACATATTTTAAATAGTCATTCATTCTTGTGATTCAGGGCTGAATTTTCAGCAACATTTCTCCAGTGAGTGTCACATGATTATTCAGAAATCATTCTAATGTTTTTGAACCAAACTATAGTGAAGTCAATCAAACAAGAGACAAATGAAAACATTCAGAATTGTATGTTGGGGTCGAAACACTTTTTCCTTATTTAAAAAAAAGGACTATTATGTTCATTGTGAGGCGACGCAGTGGCGCAGTAGGTAGTGCTGTCACCTCACAGTAAGAAGGTCGCAGCTGGGTCAGTTGGCGTTTCTGTATGGAGTTTGCATGTTCTCCCTGCGTTCGTGTGGGTTTCCTCTGGGTGCCCCCACAGTCCAAATACATGCGATACAGGTGGATTGGGTAGGCTAAATTGTCCTTAGTGTATGAGTGTGTGTGTAAATGAGTGTGTGTGGATGTTTCCCAGAGATGGGTTGCGGCTGGAAGCGCATCTGCTGCGTAAAAACATGCTGGATAAGTTGGCGGTTCATTTCGCTGTGGCGACCCCGGATTAATAAAGGGACTAAGCCGAATAGAAAATGAATTAATGAATGAATGAATGTTCATTGTGGCTATTTATTTCGCTCAAAAATAATTAACATTCTAAAATATTATTACAATATAAAATGCATGTTTTCTATTTTACATATTTTTTAAAGTCATTATTTTTGTGATTTAGGGCTGAATTTTCAGCATAATTCTCCAATTAGTGTCACACAATTACTCAGAAAACATTGTAATATGTTACATTTTCTGCTCAAAGTTATTATGAGAAAAATACTACACTATACTAAACATACTATGGTAAAGTACTGGAATTAACATGTGTTAATTCTATGTGGTAACACAGCTACTATAATTTTTTCATTTTCCTTTGGCTCAGTCCCTTAATTAATCAGTGGGTCACCACAGCGGAATGAACCGCCAACTATTCCAGCATATGTTTTACACAGTGGATGCCTTTCCAGCTGCAACCCAGTACTGGGAAACACCCATACACACTGTGTATGTAATATAGTTTATGTAATATGACTATAATATGTAATATGAAATATATAGTACAAGGTAAACTAAAACATAATGTAATATACTGTAATATAAACAGTAAAATACACTTTATAATAATTCTAAAGCAGCATATGTTTTACTATAGATTACTACAGTATTTTTTCATGTGGGTTAAAAGACCTCAGAACAGAAAACAAAGAGATTAACAGCAACCACAGGGAAGCCAAATCTTTAGCAACATTACCAACATCGTTACTTGTATCAAGTGAATGCAGTTCAGCTGAATAAAATGTCTCTTACAGACCCCAACATTTTTACCGGTGTATTTTTCATCACTCTGATCTCACCGCAGCTCCTGTAGGTCACCGTGAGCTTGTTGGAGTTGCAGATCGTATGAAGCGGCCATTGGGGATCCTGAGAGTGAGCCCGATCCATCTGAACCAAACCCAGAATCAGAAACAGCAGCATGTTGAAATAGGTCTTCATAGAACTCGCTTCTGTTGAATTTAGGGTGGACGAGAGCAGCTTAACTTCTCATTTGGGTCATCGGATAATGTCAGCGTGTCACTGGCTTTCACTTCCCTGCAGTTTCAAACAATGCTTCATTAAAGCACTTCATCAAACCCACAAGAAAAACATTTACTAAAACTTCCAGCTTCTCTTTTCATTTCAGCCCTGTCTATAATAAAATATTTTAGTGTTTCCTTTTTTTTTTAACCCTTTATAGGGCACTCACTGGAAATACCATGAGTACATGAGTGTTAAAGGGGATATTATAAGACTTCTGTATTTTTATGATGTTAAAAAAGCAGCACAGGCTCATTAGAAATATGTGATTCAGTCTACACACTTAAACATGCATTTGACTGCAGTTTGTAGGTGAAATGAGCACTAGGGGGCAGTGTGAGTCCAACAGCTTTGAATAATTTTCACGCTAATGATATTTACAGGGACATATTATTGGTAAAGTCTAGATTTGCGATATGCACATTAATAAAGCAGCATTTTTTATGACGCTGTATAGCAATAATTAATATTTTTACAGTACTGTGAGGGTTGGGTTTAGGGTTGGGGTGGGGGTAGGCGTTAAAAAATACATTTTATTGGGTAATTTAATAGATAACATAACTAATACTCGGTAAAACAACTGATTTTACATTACTGTGACGGTTGGGTTTAGGGTTGGGGTGGGGGTAGACGTTAATAAAATACAACAAATGAGAAATGTAATAAATATTAGAAATATTTCTCGTTAACTTCCGGCCGCAAACGTATCCGCTCTAGCAACAAGCCATATTATTATTGAATAAGGATTATTCTGGTGTAGTTCTTTGCACAGCATCAAATAAATAGCACAAAACAACTTGTCTATGATTTGTAAAGAAAATCTTTCACCTATCTATCTCCATATTGACGGTGGCTCAGTGGTTAGTACAGTTGTCACACAGCAAGATGGTTGCTGGTTCGAGTACTGGCCAGGCCAGTTGGCATTTCTGTGTGAAGTCTGCATGTTCTCTCAGCGTTGGCGTGGGCTTCCTCTGAGTGCTCCGGTTTCAGTCCAAACACATATGCTGGAATAGTTGGCGGTTCATTTCACTGTGGCGACACCTAATAAATAAGGGACTAAGCTGAAGGAACATGAATGAATGAATCTCCATATGGACACTTTTCTGGTGTGGTCAGTTTGCTTGTCACCTTGTACAGTGTTGTACTTGTGCTGAAGAGTGCTCAGTAGTGATGCGTGCATGGGCGTTGCTCTGCCTATTTTAGGGGGACTGTAGCCCCTCTATATTTCTGCTGCTCAGCCACCTTAAATCTTTTGCGATTAGCTCATAAACTGTACGTTAAATTATCGAATCACTATAGACTTGATAAGAAAACATTAACTATATAGTCTTGCACAGACAGGATTAAACACAGTGACAGAACCACTTAAGTGTTAAGAAAATACTTACTACTATCATTCCGATGGAATGTAACTGCTGTTACTATCCACGGTGACCCATCATCATGCCAAAAACAAAGAAATACATGATTAAAGTGACGATCGGGTGCGGGTCAGGTGTGGATACATATATCAGATAAGACTTATATAAGATTTATATGAAGCCGCAGATTCAGGTGTCATCTTATCTGATACGTGCATCTCTAGTGCTAGGGTTCGAGTCTGGTGAGGCGGAGTTACACAAAAGACATTTGTTGTAATGTTGTACATTTACACAAAATGTACAACAAAATGTACCACCAAGTAACATATTTCAGATTTTTAAAATACAGACAGTGCCCCCTAGTGGATTTGTCATCTGAAACGTGCAACAAAACCAACGTTACCACATGGAAATTCATTACTTTTTGATTTAGTGGCTAATTCGTATGAATTTGTAGGATCTCTATTTTACAATTTAGTACAGTTTTCTCATCTCCAGATAAGGGTTCGGATTAGGAGTGGGGGGTTTAGTGACACGCCTCCTGTAAAAACCGTACATACATATATATACATATATGTATTTGCACGAACTATATATATATATATATACATACATACATACATACATACATACATATATATATGTATATGTATGTATGTACGGTTTTTAAAGGAGGCATGTCACTAAACCCCCCACTCCTAATCTGAACCCTTATATATAAATGTGTGTGTGTGTGTGTGTAAATATATATATATATATATATATATACATATATATATATATATATATATATATATATATGGTGCCTGCTTTAGTAAACTTCAAGTGTTAAACTAGTAATGTTAATTATTTTGGCCAACAGTTGTTGTCTAATGCATGAACTACATGTGAAGCATCACAAGGTCACGTATTAATTTATATTCTTTGATATAACAATATAAACCAAATTTGTATAGCTCATTTGATCTAAAAATGCATTGAACATAAATCTCATCATTGCTGGGACTGTTCAATTCACTTCATCTTTTCCTAATTAAAAACCACAAGGGTTGCTATCAGATATGAATCTTATACTCACATCTATGAATTGGTTGCGGTCATCAGGTATCAGAGGGTCACAGATCTGTATGTCAGACTGACCTGATCTCGGGATGCTCTTGGCTCACGAAAGGTCATTTGTTTCTCCAAAGGGGAAGTCCTGAGCCTTTATTAATCAGCATGAAGCTCCTGATGAGCACATCTGCCTGGAGCTTCCTCAGCAGATCATCTACTCTGAGACACAGACCGTGAGTTCAGCACTTTTAATGACTCATTAAAGCTTCCATATGAAGAGTTTCTGAAGAGTTTAATGCTGTTTTTTTTCTACAACTCCTGACCTATAACTTGTGTTCTTGTCTCCTACCTTGCCTCCGCTTTTCTAAAAACATTTCTTAAATGAAAGTCTGTAGAATATGACTGTATACAACATATTGTTTCAACATGGAGATTGCAGTGTTTAATAGTCACATTGTAGGATCTGAAATGTCAAACTGGGATTAGAATAAACCAGGGACCATATTTCAGATCCATCAGAAGTTTAACAGATTAAAATATTTTCAATTACTGTAGATATATTTTAAAGGCCTGTGACTGTACGATATCAAGAGATTTTTAACCATTTGGGCACAAGAAGTAGCCCATGTAGCCTTGTGTAGCTTTTTAAAATTGCATTATTACACAATAAAGATTTTGCAGTGTTATTTTGGTCACACTTTACAATAGTTCATTAGTTAATGTTAATTAATGCATTTACTAACATGAACAAACAATGAACAATACATCTACTACTGTATTTGTTCATGTTAGTTAACGTTAGTTAATGAAAATACAGTAGTTCATTGTTAGTTCATGTTAACTCATGGTGCATTAACTAATGTTAACAAGCATGGAGTTGGATGTTAATAATGCATTTGTAAATGTTCAATTATGATTAATAAATGCTGTACGTTTGTTGTTCATGATTAGTTCATGTTAGTAAACGCATTAACTAATGAACCTTATTGTAAAGTGTTACCGTTATTTTATATTTGATTATTGAATTTCTATTCTTGAAACCTGTTAGACTCTCCAGAAAACAGTTTATTTCATTTGTATCTTTGCTCTATTGTATGCATCTATGCTTGTCATTTGTTTATGATCTTTCATGCAGATGCACCGCTCTATAAATTCAACCCAGTCGATGTAAATTTAGGAATTATTTCCAAATAGGGAATGAAATTATATTCATATCACAATATATACAATAGACAACATTTAAAATAGACCAAAAACGTCATCAAAATAGTCCTGAAGCTATTGAAGAATCCCAATTCTTATCTTAGGGCGAATGTTTAGATCCATTTCAAGTGTTGACTACTACAATGGTTTCCAAAGTTGGGCTTGGGAAAGAGGGTCACTTGGTGATTTCCAAAAGTCAAATAAATTTAATTAAACTAAAAGAATGACCATATTTTATATATAACTTACAGAAGATAAATATAGTAGTTTTTAATAGTAAACATTCATTCATTCATTTTCTTGTCGGCTTAGTCCCTTTATTAATCCGGGGTCGCCACAGCGGAATGAACCGCCAACTTTTCCAGCAAGTTTTTATGCAGCGGATGCCCTTCCAGCAGCAACCCATCTCTGGGAAACATCCACATACACAGTCACACACACACTCATACACTACAGGCAATTTAGCCTACCCAATTCACCTGTACTGCATGTCTTTGGACTGCGGGGGAAACCGGAGCACCCGGAGGAAACCCACGCAAAGGCAGGGAGAACATGCACACAGAAACACCAACTGAGCCGAGGTTCGAACCAGCGACCCAGCGACCTTCTTGCTGAGAGGCGACAGCACTACCTACTGCGCCACTGCCTCGATCTAATAGTAAACAACAACATGCAAATAAAAAGCCATCAACAATTTCAATTCTTTGTTCGTAGGATTGGTGTTTACGCTAGATTAACAGCGCAGCAGTAGCGTCAGCTGCAGCAGGTTGATTTTACAGCACCATGTTAAACTTTCTGACACCTTTATGGCAATCAAATACATTCAAAATAAATTCAGGCCATAACTGAACAACAGGAATGATCTTTGAGTGGCGGTCTCTAAAATTACACCAAGAATAGACTTGTGCTGAAAACGTTATGTCCACCAGTCTGTTTAGGTGAGGTTAATATTACATTAAACAAATTAATAGATGACTATAAAATGATAAGGTTGTTAGCCTGTTGCACTTTTTTGAGAATATGCTCGTGTTTTTATGGCCTCCTGTTGTGTGCGCAATGTTTGTAATTTATGTAATTATAATTTATCAACGTTTTTAATTTATGCTGTCGCCTCACAGCAAGAAGGTTGCTGGTTTGAACCTCGGCTCAGTTGGCGTTTCTGTGTGGAGTTTGCATGTTCTCCCTGTGTTCGCGTGGGTTTCCTCCGGGTGCTACCACAGTCCAAAGACATGCGGTACAGGTGAATTGGGTAGGCTAAATTGTCCGTAGTGTATGAGTGTGTGTGTGAATGTGTGTGTGGATGTTTCCCAGAGATGGGTTGTGGCTGGAAGGGCATCCGCTGCGTAAAAATGTGCTGGATAAGTTGGCGGTTCATTCCGCTGTGGCGACCCTGGATTAATAAAGGGACTAAGCCGACAAGAAAATGAATGAATGAATGAATGAGTCACTGGCATTGTTATTTTAGGGGTCGCGGGC